GTTGACGACATGTTGGTCGCGGCGGAGGACACGGTGATGAAGGGCTTCATGGATCGGCTTCAGCAGGAATGGAAAACGTCGCCTCCGGAAATGGTCAATGGAAAGGAGCCGGTCGTCTTCTGCGGAGTGGAGATCTGTGAAAGAGAAGGTGGTTTCTGGCTGGGCCAATCGGCGTACATTCGGGATTTGGTGGAGAGACATCCAGATGTGAAGAATGTGGACGTCCCGGCGGGGAAGATGGAGCTGTCGGAGGAGCCGGAAGAGGATAGAACTCCGGAGGAGGTGAAAGAAGCACAAGTGGCGCTAGGGGAACTTCTGTGGGTGTCGACAAGGACGCGACCGGATGTGGCGTTCGCAGTTGGCCAGGCATCAAGAATGGTGGCGAAGTACCCGAAGAAGGCACTCAGCGTGGCGAAGCAGATCCTGGGCTATTTGAAGAACACGGACGATGTGGGCATCATCTACCAGAAGAGGATGGAGCCACGGGAGGAAGAGGCGGAGTTTCCAGGCCCTCGGAGCATGGGAACGTTGGAGATACAGGCGGATGTGAGCTTCGCGCCAGGAGGTGGAAGATCAATCCAAGGGGTGATGGTTCTGTATGGAGGCGGAATCATTGCTTGGGAATCAACAAGGCAAGCCTTTACAACGTTGTCTACAGCAGAGGCAGAATTGACGGGCTACGTGCAGGCGACGGCGATCGGAGAGGCGGTGGCAACGCTGGTGGAGCTGCTGGAAGGGTCAAAGGTCAAGAAGATGATCTTGGGTGACAACGCGGCAGCAATCAGCATTATCACAACGCCGGCGTGCGCATGGCGGTCAAGGCACTTGAGATGTCGGGCTGGAAGGTTGGCAGAGCTGATAGAGGAGGAGGAGTGGAGGTTGAGGCATCTGCCGGGGACTTTGTTGGCGGCGGATGGATTGACCAAACCGTTGGCAAAGATCCAGTTCGAGAAGTGCAGAGGAGGAATGGGCTTGGAGGTGAGAGAGAGGAAGAAGGTCAAGAAGGCGTTCGGGGAGAAGGTCATCGAGAAGGTTGGAGCAGCAGGGTGGCTCGCGGTGGATAAGTTGAAGGCTGTCGTGGGCATGCTGAGTTTGGTGGCGGTGGCAAAGGCTGAAGATGGGGAGGAGCCGGAACTGGAAGGGGTGTCGCTGGAGGTTATCCTGACGGTGATTGCCATTTTGGTGGTAGTGATCTGGGAACTCACCAAGAAGGCGTGCGGTGTGGGAATGAAGAAATTGAAAAGACCGGTTGAAGACCCCGATAAAGAACTGGCAAGACCGCATGAAGAGGCCAAGAGCCCACCGAAAGAGACAGCGGAAGGCGGCTCCGTGGACATCAATGTTGCTAACAGAAAGAAGGGGCAAGGTGTTGGTGTTGACAGAGCTACCGGCAGCTCAAGAGACAAGGACTTGGGGACGGACAGGACAGGGACTGGAACTAGGCCCTGGACGGGCATGACTTTGCCTAAGCAGGCACCCAAATCCTTGAAGGCGATCCGACCTCAGGCAAAGGCCTCGAGGGACGATCTGGTAGTGGTATGCCATGTGCGAGATGGGACTGGAGGTCGGGTCCCAGTGAGGGCAACAAGGGCGGTGCTGGGGACGGAGAGGATGGAGTACTACCGCGAGATGGAAAGGAAGTCGGAAGAGCGGTGGGAGTTCCTTCAAGCTCGTGCTCGAGGTGAACCTCTTGGGGGTCTTCAAGGGAGCCTGTGGAGGGCCGATGAGCATTTGCGAGGAGGTCCCATCGAGGTGGTGGGGACGGAGAGCCAACCGCCTGGGCAGAGTTCGGGTGAAGAAGGGTCTGCGGAGCCAAGCAAGGACATCAAAGAAGAGGAGACTCAGCCGCGGGGGAGCTCATGCACGGCAAGAGCAGCGGCGGCTGGGAAGGTGGTGCTTGGCGAGGACAAGGAGTGAAGACCGCACGGTCTGGAGGCCGGAAGGCCGTTTACGTTTGTGGGTGCAATAGACACCCAGGGGGAGTGTGAATCCCCGACTTTCATGGCTCAAGAAAAAGGAACCGTGCGGTTTAGCACTTGTAGTGGTAAAGGGAAAGGGGAAAATCGAAATCCGGGTTGGGTTCCTTTAAAAGAGCTGGGAAGAAATACAGGGTGGTTCCAAGGGTTAAAAGGACTATTCTGGGAAAAGTCAGGGTAAGCAAGGGTTATTTAAGTCAGCGCCCAAAATCCCATTTGACAGACAGACATAAGGGTTGGTTCTACTGCCTGGTGTCATTAAGAGAGTGTGTCCCCAAACGAGAAGGATCCCCTATTGATCAATTTATTGACTTCCACTTGCTCAAGAATATGTTTGTATGTTCCCGTGTTGGTGTTAAGGGAATTTCTTACTACTGGAACTACTTGGGGATGGACCATGCTTTTTGGGGGTACCCGCTTTTTTGGCAGTTTGAAAGGGAAACCAAAAGGAAATCCAGCATCTATTTTGGGGGGTCCAACCTTAAAAAAGACACCGGTTCGAATTTCTACTTAGCTCTCTTGCCCAAATCGACCTTTTGAGCTTTCAGTTTGGCCTTGTTGGTCCCCCGAAAAGATCTGTTCAATTTTCACCTAGCCTTGACTCATGGGCCAAAGAAGTGGAAACCAAGTGGTTTCACTTGCTCGGTTTTGACCAAGGTTCTGAAGTTCTGAAGGGACTGCTTGTTGGCTAGAAGAAAGGAAAGCGAATGGGAAAGAATTGTGTCGGACCATTTTGGGAAATCACTTGACTGACCCTTGCCCATGCTTCTCTTTGTAACTTCTCGATTGCCTACTGCAGGGTAGTGCAATTTTCAGTCACAATCATATCCCACAAACGTTCTAAGAAATCAGAGGGCTCTCTTAAGTTTCCCGGTGCTTTCGGGGAACCACGGCCTTAAGCGAGTCTGATTCGAACTCCGGCTAAGTGAAGAGTAGTAAGGACGAGTCCCCTTGCCACAAACAGGTGCTGATATCTGACCATTGTTGATTCTTGTTCCCCTTTGTTTGCTACGAACATGGTTTCACCAAGCACTGACTGAAGTCCAGGAACTCACAGGTTTCCTTTGAGGATGGCTTGGCAGCGAACGCCGACAGCACCCTAGAAAGTACCAAGGGAGGGTATCTATACAACCCTCAAACTACCCATAAAAATGGGATATCACCCCATAATTTTGGGAGTCAAACCCATTTTTAAGGGAATTGTGAGGGTCCAGGTAGATTGACCCAAAGAGCAAGAGAAGCACATCAAGCACTCAAAAGAACTCACAGAGTTTCAGAGTTGGCTTGGACCCTTATGGTTGGGGGTTTAGAAAAAATTGGGCCCCTTTGAACCGCCTGGTGCCAGTGCCATCCGTCTGCTCTCGGCTTCTTTTGGGGAGAATTTGTACATGCTGGGCACACCACTCTCTGCCCAAAAGGACCTGGAAATATGAGGTCAGGCTTTTGGGACCTTGACTATGGGAATGTGGAATCCTCAAAAGGGAAATTCAGGGGAGTCATAGTCACAGAGCCAGGTCCCCCAGTAGCGCCCTTGTACCCTTTGTTGGGGGAGAGTTCCCCTACTAAAATAATCCCTTCCCCCTAATAATAAACGACGGCCCCTGCAAAACTTTTATTATTAGGGGTCCCCTGGTTCTGGAGGGCAGGTTTTGGAGGTACTTCTTGTTCTGTGTAGGCTTGTTTGCAACTGTGGTCCCCCTGTTCCGTTCCGTAAAATCGCTTCAAACGCACATTTCTGAGTAAGGAATTTAAGTAGCGGGAGTTGAGGTCACGTTTTGTTGTTTTTGGTTGTGGGTTTTGGGTCACTCAAAGGAACCTTTTTGGATTGAGGGAGAGAGAGAGAGAGAGAGAGAGAGAGAGGTTTGTAGTACAGCCGTGTAAAGGAAACGTGCTCCCGGAGCTCAGGCTCGAAAGTCGCAACTTTGTAGTACAGCCGTAGTAAAGGAAACGTGCTCCCGGAGCTCTGGCCTGAAAGTCGCAACTTTGTAGTACAGCCGTAGTAATTAAAGGAAACGTGCCCCCGGGGTCCCCCTAATGGGGCTGGATTTGAGTACGGGCAGGAAAATATCTACTTTAGAATTGGTTTAGTGTTGGCTATTCTAAAAGTAGTATTCCCGGATTTGGGACTTCCGATACAAATATTTATTATTAGGGAGACCTTTATTAATAGGGGGAAGTGATTAGACTACAGAAAAAAGTTGGTACCCTTATTCTAACCTCTCAAATCTGGAGGACCTAGAGAGGTTGGCGTTGGCCAATCCACCCGAGAAGTGAGGAAAGCGTTCGGGGCTCCGTCAACGTTCTGATCTTTTGCGCGGATTTGAAGTCTAGCCGCATGAATCAGCCATGATAATGTTAATCCTCGGCCCCCCCAAAAAAAGAGAACAGCTGGTTATCCTTTTGGCTTCCGCCAACTGCACGCCAACAAGAGGGTACCTTCAAAGAAACAAAGACGAGCCAACCAGAAGGAGCACAGAACGTCCACTTCTGCGTGAAATGTCTGGCAGGCTTTCACAGAAAGAATAGCATAGGACTCCACTTCACAGAGCTGCAAATGCCAGGACCAGGTCTTCCAATGGACATACTTCTGCTTCTTGGGTTGACCCAATTTCAACAAGTCTCACTTCCGGAGTTCCCGGCATTTCTTCTTCTTGGGTTTCAACCATTTTAGTGGCACCCAGTGGATCTCGGTTAGCAGGAAGTTTGGCAACCCTTCGCCATTTTCCTTTTGGTCTTTATATCGGGTGGTGCTCTTGGTTACCCATTTTTGCAGGTCAATGGATCCACTGGCGCAAAGACAACAACAACACGTTGTTTGGGGCCAATCCCCAGTGAGACTCCTCGGTCTTCCTTGATGTGCCGAGGGTGGTACTATACTAGGTCCCCCAGCCCTTCTCTCCCTTTTTTAAGTTGGCACCCTTAACCTCTCAAATCTGGAGGACCTAGGCTGTCCTTTTTCAAGTTGGAACCCCTTTTTGGGGTTGGTTTAAGAGGGCAACCCAAGGGAAAGCCCATCCGGGCCAGGCCCCGTTGATCGATCCAAACTTCCTGGCCACCGAGGAGGGGCTCGCTCTAGCCGTCAAAAGCGCTTCGGGGTGGCTGGTAGGAAGGGCTCGCTGGAGACTCCGTGACCGATTGAAAATATGGCGGTGGGTCAAAACCGTTTTGCCCTAAGGCTCTTTATTATGTGCATTGGAAGGGTCGGGATGTGCATTGAAAGGGTCCGGCCTAAATACCCTGCTGACGACGTTCCGGGGCTCTGGCAGTTCACAGTTCGACGCCCCGGGGGCCCAGACCCGTTTTGAGCGCACGCGACAAGGTCTGAAACCCAACTGGCCACTGGCCGCAACGACACCCCTGCGCAGAACAAAATTATGTTTTTCAGATAGTTCTAAAAAAGGCCAGGCGCTATGGGTGAAGGCTGGGCGGCTTGAGTCCACAGTGTTATCGCTAACGCGTTACCTGTTGTTTTACTTGTGGGCTGGTGATGTGTCTTCACTTGTTTGGTGTTTCGCAGCTTCTTGGCAGGAGTCGCGTGTTATCCCGTGTTTGCCAAAAGGTTGCTGACCTTGATTGTTTGTGTGTGTGTGTCTGACAGGCCCATGAGCCGTGCAAAATTCCTTTGGTTACGCGCTATCGCTGCTATTGGCTTGCAATGGCGTCAAGTCACAGTTTGTATTTATGGGGCAGTTGAGTGCCGATTAGAACGGCGCGCGTCAAGTTCTGGCGTCGGAAACACGTCGGGAAGCTAACGCTTGGGCCCTCAAAACTGGGCAAACCGAGGGCCCGCGAGGGCCCGAGCGTCGGAAAGTCGTCGGAAACGTCGGGAAGCCGTCGGAAACGAAACGTCGGGAAGCCGTCGGAAATATCAGGAAGCCGTTGGAAACGTCGGGAAGCCGTCGGAAACGAAACGTCGGGAAGCCGTCGGAAATATCAGGAAGCCGTCGGAAACGTCGGGAAGCCGTCGGAAACGTCGGGAAACCGTCGGAAACGTCGGGAAGCCATCGGAAACGTCAGGAAGACGTCGGGAAGCCGTCGGAAGCGTCGGGAAGCCGTCAGAAACGTCGGGAAGCCGCCGGAAAGCCGTCGGACAGTTTTCAGAAACCGCGGAATGCCAGCATGAGTGAGAATGCCGTCGGAAAGCAGATGATCTGTGTTTGCTAGGAAATACTTGGGCTTACCGATTTGCCCGTGGCAACTGAATCTTTTGTTTGCCGGCCAGGACGGTGTGCGGGCCAATAACAGTCAAAGCGATTGTTATTGAATGATCGATAGTGGTTGCAGACCCCGAGCAGCCGGGGCCCTTGCTACGAGGGGTCGTGTTTCTATGGCCCTCGCCATTCTGTCCCTGAGGGCCCAATGCGAAGGAGACTCCAGGAAGCCTTTTTTTTCGCGGTTTTGCCCGAAGGGCCCGAGAATTGCGGGGTCTCCGTTCCTGAGTTCTTGGGCTTAAGTCGCTTTTTGGGATGACGGCTTTAGTGGAAACCAAACAAAATTGGACTTTTGTGGCCAACCCACTAAGTGAGAGTTTGCGGAACATTGGATTTGAACGCGGCACTTTCCTTTTGATGCCAACGAAGTTGGTTGGATGGGAATCCCAGTTTGGTATCACGGAGAAAGTGACTTTCCAACATGTCCGGCAATCACAGCGATGTCAAAATAGGGATTCGGACGCCCCTCCTCCCCAAAAAACAAACAAATACACAAACAAAGGGTTCGGTTTCAACCGTCCCTTTAAGACCAACCTGCAAGGTAGCCTCCAAACCTCAGAAGGCGTATTTTTTTTCATTTTTGTTTCGCCCATTTAGAAGCTCTTCCCATTTCGTGGTAGTCATCCCAGGTGAAGGACCTTTTGATCAACCATAAGGCTCAAGCTTCAAGAGCCAGTGGACCCAAGGTCTTTCGTCTCCATCCAAGTTGCCATGGGTCCCTGTGTTTGAGCCGCAACCAAATAACTATGTCATTTTTGTTTTATGTTTTGGACCCCCGCCAGAAAAAAAAAAAAAAAAAACACCAGAGCGGTTGGCTTTCAAGCAACCCCCATGATACTCTCAACAAGACGCACCCGACTGAGTCTTCCAAAAGCTCAAAGGATCAGACGGATCCGAAAATTTTCTGACCGTCCGGATTCACTCTGAAACTTTCTTCTGACCGAGTTCCAATTGTCGGACTTTAGCCACTGTTTTTTAGGGTTTGGTTGCCATGTTGGTAGCGAATGAACAGTTTGGACTTTCGTCACTTGGGTTTGGGTGGCAAATAAATAGCGTGGTTTAGTTTGGTTGCCAATCCACCGAGGAAGTTATCATCAATGGGGCTCTATAAATCGGCCAGGGATTTGTCAATCATGGCCCCGTAGCGAGGAATGGGCAATTTTGAAGCGTTGTGGGTTTGTCTTTTTTGAGACTAGCCTTTTTGGTTTTGAGGGAAACCAACTTACCAAAGGGAAAGCTGGTGTTCTGCACGGAATGAGGGAACACCCCCTATAAACCATCCCTTGTGGCTTCCTTTAAGGGATTCCCCAGGTTCCTTCCATTTCTCATTCCCCACCTATCGCAGGAAGTTTTTGGGGACCCCTGGACCCGCCGATGTCTTCTCAGTCGGCCACTGCTTCCATTTGCTTAAGACTATCTGTTTTATGTTCCCCTGCCAGTTTCATCGGGAATCTATCTCCACTGGACATGTTGTTATTTTTGTCCAGGGGGCAAAGAATCAAAAAGAGGCGCAATCCCCATTCCCGAATTCCCTACCTATCGCACCAGCAAGTTTTAGGGGACTGAACAACGACACCCCCATGTTTTCGGTCTTCTCAGTCGCCCCTTCGGGCCCACTCCCGTGTCTCAACAGGAGGATCGGGTGGACCTGCGTGAGGGCCTACGGCTGACGGTGGAAATCATGGAGCAGCAGGCCCTCAAGGCCTTTACCCAGGCGACCCGTGAATTCGGTCTCCGGTTCGGCTCGGTGAGCTTGGAGCCGGTTGCCCATGGAGGAAATCCCAGGTGGCACCGTTATATACATAACCGCCATTTACCCTTCAGGTTTGTCAGCTAAATTGGGTCCTTGCCATTCTTTTCATGGCGGCAAGGGATCACTGCCACCATTGCTTCCTGTTCAGGATTGTCGTCATCTAAATTCCTTGCCATTCTTTTGATGGGGGCAACGCATCCTGCTGCGGATGGACGAACTCCATGTCGCACCAGTTTGAAAGCATGGTCGAAGAGATAACATTTGTCGGGACTTGCAGAACATCGAATCATTCCGTTGGGTTTCTGAACGGCGGTGCGTTGTATGGATATCGATTTCAGCCATCCACAGCATGTCTCATTCTCGGTGTGGATATGGGCCAGGGTAGGGCAACTTGAGCCATTTCCCTGGGGTCGAAATGTGGTTCTTGGTCCTTGGTGGTTCCGGTTCGCCGTCCGGTTCCGGGGGTTTTTGAGTTGATTTTTGGTTGGTTTAGTGGCTGGGTGTCCATTTAATCCACGAATAGTTCAACTTTGCGCAGCTCAGGGTCAATCTGTTGCATCCCTTGGTACCTTCTGAGGTGCTTCAATCCATGTCAGGTTCCAAAACGGGCCGGAAGACAGTTCAGAAAGGTGCTCGCCTGGCTGGTTCCCAGTAAGCACTCAGCCGGGCTTGTGGGAATGAACCGTGGATCGCCGCTTGAGCGGTGAATTACTCGCCACTTCAGTCACGACAGCCATCGGAGCATGTCAGGATCTCCATGGACCTGGCTTGGAACATCTTGGAACAAATCGACCCTCAGTGGGTATTTAGAGGGGCGAGGTGGGTCTCTCGCCCTGAAGCAAACGGTCAAGCGCGAGGGTTTCAACCGGGCTTGGTAGGTGTAAACACGGGCTCGGCACGGCTTAGGAAAGAACACCCAGCTTTGCACACAGCGTATGCGTATCTTCTTTTTTGAGAAACCGAGGAATTCGTTTCCATCACAAGTTCTTGTTGGAAGTGGAAGTGAAGGACGTAGATCGGTAGCCAACGTGCAACAACCTCCTGGTTGATTCCCGTGGACAAAAACATCCACGCCGATCGCCACCAGTTGGGAGGGATGCAATGAGCCATGAATGCCAAGTGGCGCGCACCTCACTCCCTAAAAGGCATGGACTTGAGTTTCCTTTGGGGTTTGGACCAGTTTGGTGGGCTTTGCAAAAAGTGTCTCGACAATTTGACCCCTGGAACTCCATTTAGGGTTCCATTTTCCCAAAGGGGAAGACTGAATCAATGGAAAAGTGCTTGACCCCCCACCCCCCTCCCCCAGTCGGGATGTCTCGACTTTGTGTGGCCAACCTCGGGAAGTGAGCAGGTAGACCCTCTCGTGACACGTGAGCCCCGTGCTCCAAGCTCGGGACGCGAGGCGAGATACGCCCCGACAGACGTGAACCTGGAGAGCGACGAGGAGGTGGACGCCTGGATCCGACAGTCCAGCCACTCAGGCGAGTTCAACCATCGTTCCGGCGCTTGCGCCGATAATTTTCAGATGGATTTGGGCTTGATGCATTTAGAACCTGCAGGATGGTTTTTATTTTGAGTTGAAACCCTGTCTGGAATCACTTTTTTGTTTTTGGCCATAGAGAGGATGGTGCTCATTTTGAGGTGAAAGCATCACCAATCTGGGCAGGGGAGGTGGTCCGAATCCGATTTCCTTGGACGCATAGGCCTGAGCCACAAGACGTCCAGTAAAGTGTTGGGTCCCTAGAGTGGCGGATTTTCGGCTTTTAGGGGAAACCAGCAGATGAAGCTTTCACATTTGGAGGTCCTTCATCCTACTATGAGCACGGCAGTCCCAACTTGCCAAAAAGTTTCGTTGGGATAAACCAAACCCCTAGTGATCCTTTGAACTACTACATATCCCCTTTTACGAATCTAAAACCTCTTTGTTTAGCCAAACTAGCTCGGCGATCAAGCGGCTCTGGTGCATCATAGGAAGCCAGACCCCTATTGAACATCCAGTGTTTCTTGCAGCCGCGGAAGGGCCAGGGTTGCTGTCTTAGAAAGTGTTACTCGGACGCTCGGTTCGCCAAGTTAGTACGTGGTTGGCCGCTTGGGGTATACCCCCCAACAAGGTTAACCCCACTTGGCGAGACTTATAAGTTATAAGTAGATTATAATCTAGGTCAAGCACAACTCATTCACTTGGCGAATCGAACACCAAAGTACTGACCAGTTTGGCCCTGTGGGATTGTTTGTCATCCTTGATGGCCAACATCATGAGCGCTGCATTCCCCCCCCCCGAAAGCAAAGCGGACAAATACAATTCAACAAGTGCAGCTAGAGTTGATGGCAGATTCGGTGAAATCACATTGGCAGTGAGAGAGCAGGCTTCTCATGATTGCTGGCCCTGCATGGTTTGATTAGCGTGACCCGCTGATGAGATCTATGGGCATGCGTAAAAGTAGGGGCACCCTAAACATTAACCCCCAAATGGGTACCCTCGCAAAAGACACCCACATCTTACTCAGAACTGTACTGACCACTGACCCCGGATCAAAAGGAGTTGTTGTTCAGTGAAGGATGCCCTGCGGACAATGAAGGGGTTTAATCCGAGGTTCCCGCTACTCCCCTACAAGCTAACATGGAACCCAAAACAAGGTCCGATTCCCAGAAAGCAAATCCTTCGCACATGGTCGGTGTTGCGGTTCCATGTTGATGTGCAGGAGTGTAGCCCCTCAAAGAGCGTTGCCTTTCCGAGTTTGTCGCACATTGCACCCTGACCAGGATATCACCTCTCCTGCACGTGCCCCATGGGCAAAGTGGTGGACGCAGAGGGCAGAGTCTTGGTTGCTCTTGGGTGTTTGTGAGAAATCACAGTGTCCCTACTAATGTTCAAACAGAGTCTTGGTTGCTTTTGGGTACTTGTGACAAATGACTGTTTCCCTACTCATGTAAAAACAAGTGTATCTTTCCATCAAAGGAACGTTGGCAGAAGGACTTTCCTTTTGAGGATCCCCCTGTCCACTTTGCTTGGGATTGACGGAATTAGGGACACTCAACCGCGGCACGAGGCGACACCAGTGCTCAAAAAGGGACATGTGAGTCACGTGCTCAAAACCCGGGGATTGATGAAGGTTATTAAGGGGCACTCCCAACCGTTAATGGCTGCGGAAATCCGCCTTCTTAATCCTTTACATGGTCCTGGGTAGATCGTTTTACTACCGGGTTTTGAGTATGACTCATGTGTGGACAACCTTAGGTAACTGTTTGAAGAAAAGAGTCTGGCTGGTCTTTGGTGTGGCCGCCTAACACCCTAGACCTTTTTTTCCATTCACTCACGTTTTGAGTTTATGGACATATACCTTTTTGGAAAGACCATGTTAGTGGTAAACAAACAGTTTGAGCTTTCTTCGGGTCAGCCACTCGATCGGAAGTCAATCCAATCTACAAGCGGCGACTGAGTCTCGTGGCGTGACCAAGGAGTGAAGGGCGTTGACAGCCTGCGGATCGTGGACGCCTCCATCATGCCCTCCATGACGAGCGGCAATCTTAACGCGCCGGAAGCTCAGGTGCTGAATGAAGATCTCCAGAGGGTGGCTGCCGTTTTTTTTCTTCCACGTGTCGGACGGGGTTTGCCTTAACACAGTAACTGTGTACTTGTTTTCGGAGGGGGGTTCCCCTTAGAAAGCACTACCAACAAATGGTTTCTCACCGTTCTGGGGCCATGGTCAAAACCCGAGTAACTGTGGGTGTGGATATCCTTCCTTTTCTTTCTTATGCGGGGAGAGTGTCATGGGTTGAGTGTCATGGTTTTCAGTTGCCCTGTCCATTTTGCACTGGGTTCTGGTTTCCTTCCATTTGCGTTTCAGAGAGCATGTCTTATTTTCCCCTGGTTCAAAGAGAATCTATGCGTTTTGCATTTTTTTTTGCCAGGGGGGGTATTCGCACATGGAGGGTTTAGTACCATGGATTTGGGAGGTCCCTTTCCCAGGACTAGCAGTTCCGAAAGGACCTCTGGTAGCTTTTTGTTTTGCAGTTGCCATTTGATAGCCCTGGACAATCTGGGAAGGGAATTCCAGTAAGGGAGACCAAAGGAAACCAACAGGAAACCGGGAAACCAACCATTTTTGGGGGGTCCCCGAAGAAAAGACACGCGGCTCGGGCGGCCTCTTTTTGCAGTTGCCATTCGATATGGCGGAAAAGCCGAGTTTGTGTGGGACTGGTTTTCGGGCTCGAAGGAAGCCAGGGAAAACCAAAAAGCCCCCGTGTTGAGACGGAATGGGCCCAAATTAGCGAAACTTAGAGACTAAGAGCTCTCTCAAAGTGCCGTTCGGGAAAAGTCCGCTTCGGTTCTTTTTATGGGCTTTCCCTTCAAGATTAGCTACCCAAAAACGGCGGTCACTAGAGGTCTGGGTTCCAGTGCTTTCAGTTTCCACCATAGATTCATTGGAGAATATGCCTCAAGAAAACGGACCAATATGTTTTTCATTTAGTTTACAAAGGTGGGTTCCCCCCTAGTTGCTTGTACTTGCCTGAAAGGACTGAGTATCCTGCTTGCTTCGGCAGTTGGACTTCAATCGTTTGGGGAAGTGAGCCTGTGGACGGACAAATTTGCTTCGCGCCAGTTGGGATTTGTGGTTTCTTCATCAGTTGGCGATCTTTTTTTTGGGAGTGGGTACCCCTTGTTTGGTGGTTTTGAAGGGAAACCACAAGGAAACCGTTCAACTATTTTTTGGGGGTAGGGGTGCCAAAAAGAAGACACACCCATTGAAGTCCCACGTGGGACTGGTCCGGTTCCTCATCAGTTTTTTAGGCCGGCTTCATCCATCCCAGCTGGTCCCCGGGTTTTTATTTCGATTTCGTCCACCACGGCCAGAGCACGAGGCCCACCATCATGTTGGCCGAGCTCATCGCCGACCGCATCCGCGGGAACACCCCATTGGCGCCGGAGGATCGAGCGGCGTGTTTCACGCCGTTTGCCCCTTCAGGCCTTCAGGTCCCCGAGCTAGGTGCCCTTTTCGGGCTGGGTTACAGGGAAGCGGACAGGAAAATAACGACTTGTAGTATCCCCCCTATTTTGATAATGCTAGTTATATAGTTTGTCTCGAAGTAGTAGGCCCTCGAGATTGGTGGTTGTCCCTTTGTAGGTCCCCCAGCTAGGTGCCCTTTTACCAACTTTTTTGGTGGAGGGTTCCCCAACTAAAATAGACTACAGAAACAAGTTGGTACCCTTATTGTAGCCTCTCTACTGGAGGACCTAGCCCTAACACTCCGGTGTTTTGGTGGAGGTACCCTTCCTCCCACTTTCACGGCAGCTGTGGGAGGGTACCTGGAAGATTAATTTCCTCTTAGAGGGACCCCATGTCAGGTGCCTTGTCAGTGGGAGGGAGGATATACGTTGAACAACCGGCTTTTTCCATCAGTTGACATCATACGTTAAAAGCAAAGTGCCCGAAACACAAAGTGGGTAACCATGTTCTTCATGGTAAAGACCAGTTGTTAGGCAAGTCAAGGGTTGACATTATACCTTAAGCATACGAGTTCCTGTTTGGCGTAGCGATGGTTGAACACGTTTTGCAGATAAGTGCTGAAACCCTACTCGGAGAGAACAAAAATAAAACTGAATCACTTGTACCTTTTGGTTTTTATTGTACATGTTGATGATAGTGACTGTCAATAAACGTTCATTAGCGTTTCAGAATATTGACTACGTTTCCCCCGATGCTTTAAAAGGGACTCAATCACTACTGGAGCCAATTGTTTTGTTTCCCAGGGGACTGACCCTTTCTCACCTGCAGAGGGTTCCTTAATGAGAATATTTATCTTCCATGTGCCCTCCCACAAGTGCGTCATGTGGGAGGAAAGCTGCGACTCGAAATTGTTTCCTTTTACCCACTTTTTTGGTTGGGGGAGATTTGGTTCCCCTACTAAAATAGACTACAGAAAAAAGTTGGTACCCTTATTCTAGCCTCTCTACTGGAGGAAAGAGAAACGAATGGCTGCGACTCGTGGGTGCGATGCTTTGCGCTTTGGAAGGAGAGCGCCGGCTGGTACGAGCCGCCGAAGTGGCAGACCTCGCAGCCTTCGCCTCAAGTGAGTCGCCGTTTGAGATGTTTCAAAAAGACGAGGGACCCAAATGGGACCCAACACCTTGTATGTGGGGTTCAAACCACCACTGAAAACGGGGTTCTTATGACCGTCATTGTTTTGCTAGGATTTGGGACCCAACACCTGATCCCTGGGGGTCAAAACCACCATTGAAAAATGGGGTACCATGGTTTCCAAAGGATTGTCATCATCCAGATTGGGTCAACCTTTGGTTTAGTGGGGGTTGAACCCCATCCAAACGGCTAGGCCCATTGTTCGAGAATGGCAACCAAGGGGACCCAATTTAGATGGTGACAATCCTGAACGGTAAGCAAAGGTGGTACACCGGATGTGAAGCAAGTTGAGGTGTTTGGGGGTCGAGGGTTTGGACTTTGTAGGGCAATGACTATTTTTTAAGCCACTCGGAACAAGGGTACCCTTAAAAAGCACACGCACGCGCACAACGGTAACTAGGTCGCAACAGCAGAATCAGTTCATTCTCTTTCATCCTGGGCACAAGCGTACCCTCAAAAGGCACACACGCACACCCGACTGGAAGTGGGTGGAAACCGCAGAATCCGTTCATTCTCCTCGAGCAAATTGGAACTTCAGCTCACCTCTGAGGGAGGTGAAGGAGTTGGGGACGGATTGCCTCTCCCTTTTGTGGACTTCCATTGACTGGAACATTTTTGTGTCCATTTCCATAGACCTCCAGTGCCATTTGCTTACGATATTATTTGTTTTATTTTCCGGGTTGGTTTTGAAGGGGAACGATTTCACTGCCTCACATTGCTCATTTTTTGTCGGGGCTTAAGCAAATGGAGGTGGATACTTGCCTCAGGTAACCGATTGATGGACTGGTCTTGGCAGAAAGTCGGGTGTGGTAAGCCACAGAAAGTTGTGCCAAAATAATTTTGATCGCTACAGGCACACGATGATGTGCTTTGCAAGCATTCGAATGGAAACCATTTTTTAACCCCTGAACCCCCAAGCACCCTGGTGGTATGTAACACTTACCCGCATGTAAGGTGAAATATTGGTATACTTGGAGGTGGATCAAAAGGTCCTTTACGTAGGATGACCAGGAGGGAAAACCAATAGACAAATATTTGATATTTCAGCCACCTGGGAAAAGCTAATCGCATCGTCGTTTGGGGCCCTACATGGCAAGCTCAGGGCTGAGACAGCGAAGATGCGCTCGGCACCACCTAGGCGCTGATGGCGCCGCTTCGGTCAAAGTGACTGGCTGGGTCGTTCAGCGGCACAATGTCCCTATGGGTCCTGATGGACATTGGGCACATGGAACTCACCTAAAGAAACATCCTCCAAACCAGGCCCCGAAAAGGCTCCATGTGGAGAGAACGGTTGCTTTTGAAACCCAATCAGTTTCAGCACCCGGGTGATGTGCGGGTGTTGCCGAAGCTTTTGGTGCCGGACCCAATTGGAGGCTCCGGGTTGCTGGCTGTACAGATCGCCGCTGAACCTGCCGTGCGAGCTTCGGTCTAAACACGTCGCAAGAAACGTCCCATGGTTTCAACATGAGGGGGAGGTTGTTTTTTTTGAAGGTACTTGGACCCCCAAGCTTTCCAAACAAAAAGGAACTCACCCCGTAAATTTCAAGCAAACACCAGTTTTTTATGGGTATCCCGACTCCAAATACCCACTTTTTTTAGGGGAACATGTCGACCCTCTACTAAAAAAAGAGGTATTTACCTTGAAGAGCCTTAAAAAAGAAGAAGGAAACAATGGATATTTGGAGTAGGGGGTAGTTTAAGGGCCCTTTTCACCTTGGTTATCCCCGCTTGACGGTTTGGGGTTTCAACCCCTGATCGTTGAGTGAAAATGGCAGCCACTTCCGAACCCCCAAGCCACCAATCCAAACAACCAGTAAGGGGGAGGCTGATTGGTTCAATAGACTCCACGAGGAAGACCAGCATTTTAGTGTTGCCTTGTTGTGACCTATGCTCATTTAGTCGGGACATTTGTCCCACACAAACCAAGAGGCACTGTCCACTCCGGATGAGCATTGGATATTTTGACCGCGGCTCGTGTGTTCGTTCGGCCGGCTGTTTGAACTTCTGGATGGTGAGGAGACGACTGGAACCGGCCGAGGGGCCCCATCTGGGTGAAGTTACGGTGGCATTGGCTCGCTTGAGTTGGACTCGAAATACTTGTTTGGGACCTGAATGAAGTGTTGGTTAACTCACTCGAAGTGAGAGTACCCAAAGACCAACATCTTGTGCCGGGATCTTGCAATTTCGAGCTTCACTCAGACGGATTTCCAGCTGACTCAGAATGCTCGATTGCAAAAAAGCCTCGTGGCTCCGCGTGCGAAGGAATCAAACTTGCGATTGGAGAGCCGCATGTGGCCTGGGAGAGCACCTCGAGCACCGGTAGTCCCCATTCGAAGGGCTTCAGACAAGCAACAAAATACAGTCGTGCCCTAACAGGGCTGTGGGAAATGACCACTTCTGTGATACAACAGAAAGGGCTTCCCAAGGCCAACCCCCCACACACAAAAAGATTCTCTTGTATCACAGAAGTGGGGATGAACCCCTCGATCCCACACCCCTGTGCCCTAAAGTCCCATACCCCGAAACGGATCAACATGTTTGAACGGTGGTTCCTTTCACGACAAACCAAACAGGGTGCGATTGTCCTGAATGCTACAGGAAAGATCCACAAGGCCTCAATCAGCAACTAGGGTGCCCTTTGCGTAAAATCCAGGGGTATCCTTGTCTTGTAGCTTATTGGGTATGCCCAAGGTCAGGGCTCCAAGAACGGCTTGAGACATCATCTTGGGGAATCTGTCACTTGAAATATGTAGAAGCAAATGGGGGTTGCAAGCTGGTGATCGGAAGGGAGCCGTTACGGAGCTGGGGGTGCCCAAATTTGCCAAACAAAAGAGCGTGCTTTCAGAGAGGGAGCCTTTGGGAACTACCTTTCGGAGTCCTGCAAGGACATGGTTGGTTCCTGGAGTCTCCTTCTGACCCCTTAAAAAGGGTTACCCAAAATAATGGTTGGTCGCGACCCCATTTTAAAAGGGTCGCGGAGACTCCAGCTTCTTCAATTTTGGAGCCACTCGGGTGATCTTTTTTGGAGTCGGGAGCCATTCGAAGGTCACCACAGCGGAATCCTTCGATGCGCAGACCTGGTTCACAGAGCACACATGTTGCAGATGGATTGTACCAAGCTCCGCATCTCCGAGCACTCGCCAGCAAGCACGAGAGACTCCGATCCGATCTCTGCAACAGAGTTACACCATGGGGCTAAGTGAACACCAGTCTTAACATCTCTTAGCATTCAGCAGGTTGGCCTTTGCTGCGTGTCACGAATCTTGCACACATGTGCACGGCCTTGACGAGTCGCAGAAGAGCTGGCACCTGAGAGATCTTGCCCGACGCCTTTGAGAAAGGGTTCTCGAAAGATCTCAACACCTCTAAGGGCGTGTCTTTTTGAGGGTACCATGGGTACACGTTTCAGGTTTGTTTAGAAAGAAACCAACAGGAAAGCATGTTTGTCTTTTCTTTTTTTAGGGAGGGGGAGGGGTCCTATTTCGACACATACCCCCAAGAACCCCGTCCGCTGTTTTGGGATTGATTTCCCAGAAAGAAGTACGGGTCCTTCTCTTGTTGTGAGATACTGCGTCAGGTTCTTAGACCTAAGCGTCCAAGCCCGTCCATTCGCCTACCTTTCCAGCCGCAGGGTGGCTCGTCTTTTGTAGGAATCGGACTCCCAAAATGGGCTTCGGTTTTACTTTTGATTTTTCCTTAGCCACCCTTAAAAACATGACATACTCCTGGTGTTTCATTGACAAACAACAGCAACGGGGCCCAAGCGACAGATTCGGAGACGAGCATCACGCATCCAGCAGAAAAATCGGCGCCCAGCGAGGACGAGGCGGGAAGAGCGCAGGGCACCGCGGGCCTTCTGACTCGGGAAGAGTCCAGGATAGCGCCATCGGCGGTCCGAGGCGCGGAACGCGGTCATCAAGGTACGCAGGCAGGCGGCCGCCTTGCTAACGGGCCTGGCCCGGGGAGCGACAGGCATGGCGGAAGCGCTTGCACAGAAGACATACAGCGCAGCTTTGGCGGAAGCCTGACCAGATTGCGTGGCGGCTGTCTCGTTCAGCTGTCACTAGTTGGTCCTCGTGTGAAACAGGGCGTTTCTCAAAGCGGGAATCATTTCAGCCTCAAAATAGTGGTTTCCTTTTGGCCGAACCCTGAAACACTATCCAAAATCTGGGGACCCCTCAAGAAAGGCGAGCCACCCATGGTGTGGCTTCTCTGGTGCTTTGCTCTATGACTGCAAGAAAGAGAATCCGGTCCCCCTAAGAATCAGCGTTCCGCCCGCCCGAATACGAAAGACCTCAGTTTTTTTTCGGGGGGGTCCCCCAGTTTTTGGCCAGAACTGTTTCAGATCGCGGTGTCAGTATTGGGTTCCAATTTGAGAAGGGATGGGACCCTTTCGATTTAAAAATACATGGAAACCTAATGGAGGCCCGAACAGTTTCAAACCTCTCCCGCAAGGCAACCCATTGGTTGGAAGCGCTCAGACTAAGAATAGCAACCTCTGCCGCTCAGGCGGTCCCTAATGAGCCTAAGCACTTTTTTGGAGAGCTTGGCTGAGTTCATTCAGTGTCCAGAGAGTTTAGTATTGGTTTGGTCTTGGATAATTTCAATTTAGTATTAGCAATTTGTCGGGTCGGCGGGTGTCCTTTCTAAATAGGAAGAAGGGAGTAAGTATTGTTGACACGGTGTACGCCTTGGATGGTGAACCCTGCCCCAGCGAGCGAACTTTTTCAGGCTACACCTGAGACAACATACGGGCGTCCCTTTTTTATACATAGAAGACTACCCCTCCAAAAAACAACAAGAAGAAAATCAATGGTGGTCTCTCTTTTGGTGTTCCTTCAAAACCGCAAAAGAGGGGCACCCTCTAAATGCACACACACACACACACCCAACTGTCGTCAGCGAAAGGACGGCACATTGCCAGAATCCCACTGGATACTTGGATGTGGCTGGCCTTCTTGCCCACGAACAAGATTAACTCCACGTAGGACCTCGAAGTTGCTAACTTGGCCGAACACCCAAGAAGAATCTGTGCGGAAGTGAACTTTGGTGCGTTATGCTTGGATGTTAGGACTTTAACTTTTTGCCAACTCATGGGTTTTCCCATCAAACCACTAAAAGTTAAACTTTTAGCAGGGGAGCAGAAAGCAACCGAGATGCCTTTTCGAATGTTACAAGAGGTCTTCCAAGGCAACAAGCAGGCTAAGGTCGGCTTGCCCTTCCGAACCAACGCCACTTTGGCGAGGACAATTTGATTTTTCATTCACATGGCAGTAAGAATCGAAGATCGCCTTAAAAGGGGCGGTGCCTTTGTCATACGAAGAATACATATATATATATATGGGACTCGTTCTAAAGGTCCTTGTAAGGAGTTTAGTATTCGGTGACCATCGGGGTTGGCTGAGGTAGCTCCGCGAAAGATTCGCGATGGAGTTGCGAAAGTAACTTTTTTTCTCGCGAAAGTTTTGCGTAACTGTATCTGGTTCATCAATGATATGTGGAACCGTTCATCTTTTCTGCTGAGCCTTCCTTCTATTGTGATTAAAACACTTTGTTGATGTTGCGCTGATTAAGCCTGGTGATGCTACAGTTTGATACCCTGCTTGGCTGGTTAGTGCTCCAAGCCTGTGTATGTGTGTCTGTGGGTGTTAGTCGGTGGCTTTCCGCTCTGAAACGTGGGTGATTTTTCGCGAAAGTTCCGCGAAAGATCCGTGAAAGCCCGCGCGAAAGCGCAGGCTTCGATTGCAAGGAGGTATAGTCTGAGCGCCGATCTAGTCAGTATACTAGCTTGGTACTGGAAATCTGCGACTTCAAGCTGGAGCTGCACGGCGAACGAAAAGCTGCGACTTTCCAGCCGGCGCATGTCATGTACTACCCCTGTGATGAAAAGTTGCAACTTTACAGCTGGAGTTGGGAAATCGTCATTTCGCTTACAACGCTGGCACTTAAATGCTGCGATTCTCCGACTCGAGAAATGAAAAGAGCACGGCGATGAATCCGCGAAAGATTCGCGAAAGTAACTTTTAGATTCGCGAAGAATGGCCGTTTCGAGACAAAGGAATTAGATCAACCACCATATATATATATATATACATATGGGTCTGTGTTTTTTTACCGTGTCAGTTCTTTAGTCTTCGTGGGAGGTGGGGCTTGGGCGAGCCATACCCCCGAATCATGCCCCGAACCATACCCCCGAGCCATACCCCGAGTCATACCCCTTAAAAAACACAAAAAAAGAACATGCAAGAACTGTGGCATTTGCATGTTGACATGTCCACTCACACACTCACTGGTTACTCGTGGGGGGCCATTTTGGCTCAAGTGGTGTTCCTTGACACTCGGCTCGGTCTCGGCTTGCTATTTTCAATGGAAAGTGCCAATGGATGGAGTTATAGAGCAATCCTGCGGATGTCCTGGTACTAGAGTTGTCTGTAGCATCCGTGGTGCTGTGACGGGGGGTGCAGCTTGACGAAAGACGCTGGGACTTGCAGGGCGCTGTGGCAGGGGGTGCCGCTGCTGAGCTTGAAACTTGGAGCTTGCTTCCTGCAGTCTGTCCGACGCGGTGGAAACAGCTGTCTGTCCTGGGCCACTGTCGCAGTGAAACACAAGCTGTCTTTGTGCTCCTGGGGTACTCTTGGTGTCTTTCCGGTCGAAAAAATTCTGTCCCCCGATTCATACCCCCGATTCATACCCGATTCATACCCCGATTCATACCCTTCTGCTGCCATTTGCAGCCAAGAGCCTCTTGCGCTCTGGGCAGTACTAGCGAAGCTATGCCGCCCAAATCCTCAGAAGACACAAAACTCAAAGAGAAGCACTGCAGGAACCAGCTCGCCGCTTTTTTTGCAGAAGTTCGCCGGAAGGTGGGTTCGGAAGGCTTACTGTGATGTATCAAGCGCGACACGGTACACCACCTGTGAGACGGCCACTAGCCTCTGCGCGGCTGCCGTTTGAGGATGTCACGCTGTATTGCCCTCACGCTGGTTCGTGACTGGTGCAGGTGGCGGACTGGGCAGCGGCGCTTCCCCTTAAGCAACGCTTGCTTGGGTCTGTGAGCACGCGGGTCGCTTGAACTCCAAGTGGAGGTGGCCATGACGTTCGCCTCAGGCAGTGGCTCTGCGCCTTCCACCTAGCGCAGAAGCTTTCGCTAACCCACTCACGCAGAGTGGCAGCTGTCTAGTTCAGGCCACTCACAAGCGCCCCAGGCTGGCTTGTAGCAACTAAGCGGTCCAAATTCTCACGGCTATCCAGTTGCCAGCGCACGGGAGCTTTGCAGTGTCCAAAGCCACAAAGCAAGAGTTCAGAGGCGCGCGAGCCATACCCCGATTCATACCCGCGAGCCATACCCCGAACCATACCTGCGATTCATACCCCTTATACCAACCTCCCGGCACGGCCACGTCAAAAAAACACATACCCATATATATATATATATATATATATATAAATGACATGGCGCTCGTAAACAAACGGCCCCCTCTTTTTGTCTAAGTTTGAGAGCACGTCAACATGTTCACTTGGAAGAAAATAATTGCCGGTCACGTGGGCTGCGTGGTCGCAATGAAAACACATGCCTCATCTTGTTTTGGTCGGTACCCGTGGTTGGATTGAAAGGATAATTTGGAGCAGGGGGGGTCTTTTTGCCACCTTTGGTGGAAAAATGATCGACCCCCTTGTAGTGTTAAGGGGGTCGCCAATTTTCTCACAAAAGGTGGCAAAAAGACCCCCGAGAAAGTGGAGTCTCCATGAGCCTTCAATGGAGCCCATGGCGGCTTCTGGAACTAAGCCGCCACAAAAAGAAAACTAAACTGTCCTTCAACCAGCCCTAAACCAACCCCTTCCATTTGTTTAAGAATGTGTTTTTTCTTTTTCCCCTTGTTGGTTTTAAAAGGAGTTGATCACTACTAGTAGACATACATATTTTTTCCCGGGGGTCTTAACCAAATGGAAGACCCTAAAGCCAGGCAAACTGGTCGGACACAAACAGGATGCACCCACGCCTGGCGAGCGAGTGAGTGAGTTCGAGGCTCGCCATGCCGGCTGGAACCACAGCCTTAGACCTCGTCCAGGGTATCACTGAGTGCGCCTGTCGGGAGGTTGTGCCATTGTCAAAAGACCCAGAGGTTGTCATCCACAAGGTAAGGATCCTTCATGACCAATATAATAGGTTGCATTGCGGGATCCATGACCATAGGTCGAAGAAACGGAGTTTTGAGCATGGCACAATGGGATTTGGACCTCCCTTTAGGTGGGCTCACTTCCTGACTTCCGTTAGCTCAGTTCCCCGCGCTTCTTGGGCCAATCCACTCGGGAGTTAAATTGGTATTGAAAGGAACTAGGACACCGTGGCCATTTCGGGGCCACCGATTTTGCGAATCACCGAGCTTTACATGTTCGCACGGGCTGCTTGCCTTCTTAGCCCGCGTCCCTTCGGAACAAGGGATGCCCAAGGTCTCATGGAACGTGCGGAGGTGGACTTCAACCTGCTGGAAACAAAGAAACACACGAGAGGAGAGGCATGAAGACAGAAGCCCAAACAGGTGCTCCAGGCCCATCTAAGAGTCGAAGAGTCGCTGCTAGGTCCCCCAGTAGTGCCCTTTTACCAACTTTTGTTGGCGAGGGTTCCCCTACTAAATGACTACAAAAAAGAAAAGGTACCCTTATTCTAACCTCTCAAATCTGGAGGACCTAGCAAACATCTTTTTGCCCGGCGATCGCATGTTGGCTCTGAGGCTTGTGGAGAACGCAGGGTTGCCACACCCGAGAGCTTTTTTTGCAGGTTTCTCAAGGGCTGGGGACCAGCGCATCCGACCATATCCGACCCTTGAAAGTGCCGGTTTTTAGAAACCGTGGTGTACCCAAACCCACAAAGGGTCAGGCACCAAAAGCAGGGACAACACACCTGGTTCCTTGGGCTTTGGTGGCTTTCTGAAGCAATAATTTTGGCAACCAGAAGGGTTTCTATTGCGGGAACCATGTCCACCCACATGGGGAGTGTTGACCATGTGCTGCGAGGGGACGCGGTTTGTGAGGGGTGCCATTTCAGGCCGGTTCCCAGGCAAGCGGAAAGGAAAATAGCGACTAGTGTCCCCCCTATTTTGGTAATACTAACTAAATGTTTTTTCTCGAAGTAGTGTGGTTGTCCCTTTCTTCCATTTGCGTAATATTTTGTCCATTGTTGGTTTTAAAAGGAGTTTATCACAACTGGACATATATTTTTACTTTTTCCTGGGGTCTAAACCAAATGGAAGCTTTGTTTCCCTTTAAAACTTCCCCAAAATGGGTGCCGCCTTTCTCCTTTACGCTTGTGGCACTCAGTTTGGCGAGGTACAGCAGCCGCATCGCGCTGAAGATGCTGTTCACTCAGTTTGGCGAGGCGCTGACGGCTTCGAAGCTGTGCGTTTTTGAGCCTCGGAGGGGTGCGGTGCTTTTGGTGGTGTTAAAGGGAAGCTACCAGGAGCACCGTTTGTTGTGTTGGGGGGGGTCCCTAAAAGACGCACCCAGATGTTGTTCTTCCTCCCTGCAAAACCACCTCAATATATAGAAGTTGTCATGAAAGAGCGCATACCATGAATATGTGCGAAACGTGTTGTTTTTCTGGGGTTGCGTTAATCGTGAAGTGAAAGGGGAACCAGCTGTTTTTGTTGGGGTGGGGGGGGCCTTTTTGCGACCCGAATTTATGGCCCACAAACTGTAAGGACAAAAGGAGGTGAACAGAAACAGGTTTGGGGTTTTTCAAGATGGGGTCTCTTGGGATCCCCTTCCTTTGAGAAAAAGCAAGAAACAGACGTGCTCCGTAACCGGGCCAATTGCCTTTGACGAGGTGTGTGTTGCTGTACCTGTTTTGGGAGTGTTGCTTTGAGCCCAACAGAAACGGAAGCTTTCTGGGAGCTCACTTGAAACAAACACAATGGGCATAATAGGAACCCCCCGTTGATGAATAACCTCCTAGCCCCTGGTTGATTAATAGGGTGTGCCCTGTTTAGTCGGGTTCATCACTTTTAGAGGGGACATCCGCTTATCAATAGAACGGGTGTATTTCACATTGGCCGGCGGTTTAGTTGGTTCCTTGTCTACCTGCTTTTGCGGGTCTGTGGTAGCTCTTGTTGGCAGAAGGGACAGTCACCGCAGCACCCTCCCTCAACTGCCGTTTTTCAACCATGTCCCAAACCACAAGTGGGTGTTTGGTTTTGAGGAGACCCCTCCCCGAAAATGGTGGTTGTCCTTTCGGGTTTCCCATTAAAGCCACGAAAAAGGGGTTGGCTCCAAACAAAGAGACCCCCAAGCGCTCGTCAAAAAGCAGTTGTTGGGTGGTGATGGTGGGAGTGGGGTTACTCAACACTTTTGTCATTGTTGAAAGGTGGGATCTACCTAAAAGTCAGCACGGGCAGCAGCTTGTTTTTCTTGAGCCAGTATTATGTCGGTACGCCATTACCTATCAACACCCCCCGCTTTGCAGAGGTGCGTTGGTGAGAACAGTACTTTGTACACGTTTCTCCCCCCATGCCTGAAGCAAAGTCCTCTGAGGTCAAGGCAGTGAAGACGTAGAGCCTCAGTGGGATAGGTGGCAAGCCATGGTGATATGAGGCCTCATGCGTCAATGGTCGCTGCAACTGCGATGCATTTGGACTTTTGCAGGAGCGTGCCATCCGAGTCGGCCGACCACGACTTCCGTCGGGCAAAACACATGTGATTTCCATGTGAATGCTTGAAACTGAATTCACACTGTTGCCATCAGCGAAGGTGATCTCACGACCACAGCTTCCGCTGGGCAATACTGAAATGACATCCGGTGGTGGCGGCCGTGGATTGACCTACGGCCGCAGCTTCCGCCGGGCGTGCAAACTTGGCACTGCTAATGTTGCGGCATCAATGGATGAAAGATAATAGTCTTGAACATGACATCACCAATGAAATTGAAATGGTTACCGCAACATAAGCAAACTTTTGTAATTGACGCGGGTGCTCACCATCCCCACGGGCCCTGACGCCATTGATGCCATCCAGAGGACCACCCGTACCAAGAGCTCCAGTCCTGACGCCCCGTGCTCTTGCCTTTGCCCTTGCCCTTTCCTTTGGTGTAGGGCTCGGGGCGAATGGACCGGGTGATCGCCCTCCACTGGGTGTTCCTCGCCTCAACAGGATAGGTCCGCGTCCGGCCGGAGGAAAACCGCGGGATTTCGAGTTCACCGGTGCTGATGGTGCCCTGGGAGTCGAACTTGATCCAGGAGGCCCGAATGAAACTGGTCATGACCTCCAAAATTCTTTCGACGTTCCCTTCCGGGACGTATGATCCGCTGTGCCCGATGATGATCGGCACTTGGTTGCCCGGGATGAAGCGGTAGGCACACATGACTGCGAATTGAGTGATGGTGTAAAACCTCGCGTGGTGGGCGATGAATGCTTCCGTGGAAACGTTGAGCTCATGGGGGTCGCGCTTATTCAGATTCGGGATGAACACCAGCTTGGTTCCGGTGTTTTGGGATCCGCCTCTCTCGCGCTCCTCCCTGGTACGGCCTGGGTCAGCAACAACCGCACGGGCAATCCGGCCAAGGAAATCGAGGCTCTCAGGGGTTAGCCCTTGCGTGGCACAGTTGTATGCGTAGAAGGGGTCGACCGAGAGCCGGTCGGATACCTTCTCGCACCCCATCGCCAACGCCTTGGTCAGATGCGTCTTTGCCGTCTTCCTGAGTGACGCTTCGACGGAGATTCCTCCCCGCTTCTCACCTTCCTTGAAGTGATGCTTGGAACGGATCCACTTCCCTCCGCCACCTTGCAAATCTTCCAGGTAGAAAACCATGCCCTGGAGGGATGCCGTGTGCTCGAGGCGTACCACCTCAGTGGCAATGCGTGCGTCCGTCCAAGCCACCATGTCCGTCCGGCATTCCTGACACAACAGGTAGCCGTCGATCTGTTGGTTGTTGCACCTCCGGTTCCAACATTTTACGACCGGAATCTTCATCATGGTCGTGAACAGGAGGTCCTCCCAACGTGGCTCGCTCTGGTAGCGGTTCCGGAGGTTGTTCCAGCCGCGACCATGCCCTTTCTCCCCCCTGGAGAGCTCGGGCACCCTCCGAAGAGTCGCAGGCGCAACCTGATAGGTCGGGCCTGCAGGTCTTTCATTCGACTTCCCCTTCCGGGGAGCGAGCTCATCGATCGTCTCAATTTCGGTGACGGAACCCGGAAGCAGCTTGCCGTTCTTCGTCCCCTCAACGACGGTCCGCCAATGCCTCCAGGCCTTCTCTGCGGTGAGGGTGTTCTCACTTCGGAAAAAGTTTGGGTTGACGTCGTGAGGCCCAGGCGCGAGCTCGGTCGTCAGTGCCTCGCGATACCGCTTGCGAAGCTCTGGGTATGCCCGGTTGAAGTAAAGGAATTCATTTTTGCGGGTATGGAAGGCGTATATGACATAGGCGTTTCCAACCCAGTCCGCGGACATGAAGGCCTCATCACTTGTGAATAGCCTGATCCCGTCCTGCATCATGAGCTCGGTGTCAAATGCGATTGTGACGGGCCTTCCGGCTCGCGTGCCTGCCAGCTTCCTCATCTGCGCCTCCCAGGGTGGCGTTGGGTTGAAGTAGACGTGGGCCCTGCCTGTCGACTTCGGATAGCCCCCCGGAACCAGGCCGAACTTGAGGATACTCTCGGCCGATCTGAGGTCGCAGGTGTGATAAAGGACAGCCGGAAAGCCTCGGCGCCATTGGTCAGTAAGTTCCGGGTGCCGCACAGCCCTCGGGTACTGGCCGGCGAGGTACTTGGCCGCGGTGAACTCCTCGTCAAAGGAATACAAATTTGTCAGGATCGCCTGCTCGGTGTATTTCCTTGTGAGCTCGTTGTGGTGTCCTTGCACGGCCCTCACCCGCAAAGCCTGATACGGCAATCCTTTCCAGGATGCTTCCCCCAATGGAGGGGGCCCAACCATCACGCGGAATCTGCGGGTGTTATTGTTCCGGATGCAGATCATCACCTCCCAGGGCATGACGTTGGCGATCCGGTCATTCAGATGTCTGACCAGCGCATCGAATTCCACCGACAGGTCAATGCCGCGAAACGGCGGGTGGGGCTTGCCGTCCTTGAATGCCCCTCCCCGGAGGAAATAGGACATTTTCTTCGAAATTGCTACCAGTCGGTAGTCTCGGTCCATGTTGATCTTCGGGACGTGCCCCATGTCCTCGACCTCGAGCCATTCGCTCTGCTCCTCGGCCGGGACCTTGGTATTGATCTTCCGGGTCCTCGCCCAGTCTTCCCAGAAGATCTTCTCTTGCTTAGGGTCTTTCTGCCTTTTCGACCGGGGTTCCCCCTCGGCGTTGCCCGGCGGCACCTTGGCCTTCGCAATCCTCGGCATCGCCTTCACCTGGGGCTTGTCGGTCGAGCCTGCAGCCGTGGGGTCCGACTCGTCTCCAATCTCAATGAAACCAGTCGACTGGGGTTCCCCCACAGCGTGCTTGCTAGCAGTTCCGCGCCTTGACGGCGGCGGGGTTGGTGGTTGCTTGGATGTGCTGGTGCCCTCCGTCACGGATTCGAAAGCGACCGACTCCGCGGTGATCATGGAACTCATCCCTGCCGCCTCGGACTCATCAGCCTCCGACACCAGCTCCACAGACGCCACAGTTTCTTGATCGAAAAGGTCTCCTTCCGCTATGATTATCGACTGGCCTTCCGGCGCAGCACGGTGAACTCCCGGGGGCAAATTCTCCGCATCCCATCCGAAGTCATGGGTGTCATCCCCCAGCAAGAGCCATTTGTCCTTATCCTCGTCGTCGGGAACCTTGGACAGTCCGTGCTTCTCCGCCGTGATGTCGATGTACTGGGACATCGCAACCTCCACCCGATCGAGTTCATCATCGGAGTTTTCCTCTCCTTTGTCAACGGCTTCGAGGACGATCTCGGACTCGTCGACTTTGGCTCCCTGCATGTCGATGGTGATGGCGTTATAGGATTCGTCCTCCGCCACCTTCATCCATGCCGCAACGTCGACGTCGATTTCGTCGCCCTCCTGGTCGTGAGACCAGTCGGGCTTCTCCTCCATGGCCGCGAACTCGTGAAGTGCTTTGGCTAGCTTCAAGCACGTTGGCCAGCCGAAAAGCACGGGGTCAACCGGCTCACCCTTCACGTAGGGCTCGACCCTCCCAATCGCTGGGAGGGCGTACCTGATCCGCTGGGCCAACAACTGTGTGTTGATTGCCGCATGAAGGAATTTCGACACAACCTTCCGGTTGGCATTGCTGTATGTCATGTGCACGTCATCGTACCTGTGCGCTAGCAATGTCATAACCGATGGGTCGATCGAGTCGATAGCCTTGACGCGGGTCCCGTCGTCGACGTCCCCGTCGGCCAGGTACCGAAGGCAGCCGTTCATAGCCTCGTTGTAATCGGACG